AATAAGAGACAGTCCACTGGTGCAGCTGGACACAGTCTCATGCTCTCCATCTCGATAGACAGCGTGGGTCCTGTATAACCAGACACGATAGAAGCATGGATTTAGTAACACCGTTGCTTAAGGGGTAACCGAGGATGTATTAAGTCAGCCTAGGGACCCTAAGTGACTGTGGCACGCTCACAGAACAGATTCCGAAGCATCTGCTCACAGATGGCCAGACATTTTCAGACACTCAATCGGGAGCGGCAGGCTCAAAGACAACCCTCTGAGGTGAGAGGAGCTCACCATGCTCAGAAATGTATCAACAGAGATACACTAGTTGAGTGGAGCCCAAAGCGAGTACCAGGGCCTAAGCCAACTCAGAGAAAGGGAACGAGGCTGACAGCGCGTAACCCGTAACCATACAGGATTTTAGAAAGTGCGCAGAGTGCTTAGCGTGCACACTTACTACAATGTGGATTTTAGAAAGTGCACAGAAACTTAGCGTGAGCACTTACCATAGCATGGATACAGAAAGATTGCCTGGCTTGGCCCGAATAGAGGCAGCTTATCAGGGAAGCAGCAAGCGGCCCAACTACCTGATGTCACTGACACGGAGCTCAAGAGTGGAGGGTTCAACCCCTAGCGAAGAGAGAGAGGAACCCAGCTCAACTGAAGTGACCAATAGTCCAGGGTAGAGGACCTAACTCTTGAGTCGAGAGGAGGACTCACCCAGTCTGCCCAGGACCGGCGAGCTCAAAGGGACCCTCCCGCAGTGAGGGGAGCACAGCCATGCCCAAGACAGATAGATCACAAATGGGACATCAGAAATGGGATCCTGCTTGAAGGCGATCACACATTTCTAAGGGAACAACTGGGTCCCAACATAAAGGCAACTGACCAAGGAGGTGACAGAGACGGGCCTAACACTTAGTTCGTTGCAAATGGGGTCCTTCGGGAGCAGTGCTCTCGGCTCTCAAGCTGAGGCTGTACCTTACAGCACATAGATAACCTTCACAGAGAGCGGAGTACTTCTCAGCTCGACCAGAAGGGGGCGCTAGATTAGAAGGGGTAACCCTGCAGGGCTCAATAAGAGACAGTCCACTGGTGCAGCTGGACACAGTCTCATGCTCTCCATCTCGATAGACAGCGTGGGTCCTGTATAACCAGACACGATAGAATCTGAAGAAATAGCGGGACCCAATAACCATTCATGCGTATAGAGCTTACTGCTCTTCAGAGCAGAAGCACAAAAGAGGGGTTTCCACAGAAACACAAATCCCTCTTACCTCAGGGAACGCAGTGTACTCCAGCCCACTACGCAGAGGGGTAATTACTGGTTCAACCATAAGGGCAGTGTGACAGTGAGGACCCACGGGCCCGACTGTCTATGGAGCGTTGAGCTCCTCAATGCCTCAGCGAGAGGAGCTCTAGCTCAGAGAACGTGCATGAAGGTTAAGGAACGATTCAAATCTCGGGAGACCCCTTAGGGTGAGAAATGAATAGTTCGCACCTGGCCAGAGGATAGGGAGCATGTCGCGAAGCATGTACTCAGAAGAGTACTAGCCCATGAGAAGGACCCACAGGTCCTGAGGTGTCAGCGTTATACTGGACACCTGATGCTGGGAGACTTCCTCAGAAGCCCAGGCTGTGTGTCCAAGCCGAAGATGAGGGCTATCACCAGCCTGGAACCAGAACCGATGAGTGAAACCATCACTGTAATCCGTCAACAGCAGGAGGTCCTGACTTAGCAGGTGGGTCAAACCTAAAAGTCAGAAAAACAGAACAGGTCTGAGTAGCGCTGCAGAGAAAGGCTAGCATCAAATGCACAAGAACTAGCAGTAGAGTAGATAACAATGGATCGTACTCACCAACCATGTCTCCAGCGCATGAATCAGGATCACGATATAGGCTGGAGGCGAAGTCTGAAGCCTGAACCCTCGTGGAATGAAGGATTTAAAGGCTGCCGAGCACGTCTTGGCCTCTTTAAACCTCACGACCACCATCTCGACGAAAGTGCCGAAAAGCTCAGAAGGGGAAACCGGCGCATCAAGAAGAAAGCCCTTCTCTTTCGACCCGATATCCACCAGACTCACCCACAGATGTCTCTTCGTAGCCACCAGAGTTGCCAAGTTTGCGTATTATATGCGACTTTGGGCTTCTTTTTTTGTAAAGATGCATGAAAAAATCCTGGGTAACGGGTGGCGGTTTTTTGGGCTTATTTTTAAAAATATGGTTGCTTGTTAGGAAAACCTGACAAGCAACTTTGTTTCTTTTAATTTATGTTCACTGTATTCTCCAATGCATTGATTGACACAATGTCTGCTCACAGTTAATAGCCAATCAGTGCAAAAATATAAGTGCTGTAGCGTAATTTGTCAAATATTCCACCCCCTCCGCATGCGCCTTCTTTTTGAACGTGATTTTTCTTCAATGAGGGATTGAAGTAAAATCACTTTCAAAAAGAAGGCGCGTGACGCTGTAATTCAAGCGATGATAGTAGTAGACTTAGAGGAGTGGGATGACTTTTTTCCTTTATAAGGTAGCCTAATTTTTTTACTTTTACAATGTTTTTGTAATGTATTAATTATCATGGGTTGTAAAGAAAAAAAAAACTAAAACAAGTAGGCCTATACTAATACTAAGAGTAGATTTGGTTCGAATAGCCAATATATTAGTAGGTTATAAATATGTGGCTATGTTACAGCTCCCCTTTGAAGCTCTTGTGTTTTTCTCCTTTTCCATCTGTCCAATCCTATTCTGGTCACAGGTGATTGGAGATGAGTTTTGTTCCTGCTTTGTTGCAGTTTACTGATTTTTGTAAAATAACTTATGTTTTTTTTTCTTTTCAGATAAAAGGGTAGTTTCAGTTTAATATGTTGCGGGCTCATTTATTCGTAATAAATAATTGATAATAAATAATATTGATGATAATAAATTATCAAAAAATATTGGGCTTGTTTTGGGCTTGTTTTTTAAGTTGTGGTTGCTTATTTGTCTCGCGAGAGTTGGCAACAGTGGTAACCACCATGGCTGCCATTTTTTGGGATCTGCCAATGGCAGTGGTGGCATGTTTCATGTTTCATGTTTATCCCTCACAAGAAATAAGCAATGAATGCAGAGCGCATCCAACTCCCTCGAGAGCTGAACGCGCTTGCTCTTCACCACACACACACAGCACGTGAGCCGTGTGAAACTGCAGGTATCAGAGCAAAGCCTCTGGCGAGAAAACATGAACTCCTAGTCGTGTTTAGCTTAACGCTAACTTTGTCAGTGAAGACAAAGAAGAGGATGACGTGTTATCCCGGCGCCCTTTTATACTGTGATCACATAGGGTAATGACGTCATATGCTGTCGCCGGCCAATGATATTGTCGTTTTTAGATGTATGCTTCAGACACCGGTCACGCTAAAGGCGAACCCCATAGCGACCTCTAAAGGACGCAGTTCAAAGTTCCCTCGAAAGGGAACTAAAAACTGTCTCATGGCAATGAAGTGTTTCCTGAATGGAGATGGGTCCCGCTGGGACCATGTCTACTGGTCTAGTCTTCTGTCGTGAAGACAATTACACAAGAGAACAAAGGTATCCCAAAAAATGTCACAACAAGGTCACAAGACAACACAAAGATGAAAATCAAACAGAAATAACTCCAAACGAGTAGCAAGGAAGATCACAGTAATGCAGTGAGTCTATAATATCTTTGAGAACAGACCAAGAGAGGATTGCATCCGTCTCTAATAGTAGTGTGTGTGTGTGTGTGTGTGTGTGTGCGCTTATTGGTAAATGGAGAACAAGTGTGAATGCAAACGAGATTCAGTGGGCTTGAATTGGAGCACAGGGTTTCTGGAGTAAGAGAAGCCAATGAGGGTGTGACAAATTATAATCTAACCGGATGTGTTGTATAACATTTAAAAAAATTACAACTATTCCGCAGTTTTGCCATAATTTTACCATAAAGAATAATTTTGCTCTTGATAAAGGTTTTTTTTTTTCGCTAAAATTTATTTTACTAAGCAGACAAAAGTCTTGGTAAAGAATATGCTTGATATGAAATATGATGTTTTAAAAGAAAAATCTAATAAATTTAAAATTTATTTAAGAACCTAATTTATTCAATTAACCAAATGAAATACCCCCAAAAATGACAGCGTTTTGATGCTGATAAATAAACGGTTAAAGGTTGTTAATAGTCATACATTACATAAACTAGTGAGAAAGGTGTTTATTTTTTAAAGGTCCACAGGGCTGAAATTGCCCAAGTTTGAAAAGATACAGTCTGACAAGAGTTTAAAAAAGAGAAAGCTGCCAAAGTACTGCCCATTTCCAAAACACAAAGGCAATATTCAAATAATGTTACAAAATAAAAGAAAGTACAGCAGCATCTGCATTTATAGATGCAGTTTATAAAAAACTCTTCTGCAGCAATTTATTTATTTATTTTAGGTAACTTTATAAAGTGCTTCATTTGGTTATATTCAAGTCTAAATTGTTATTTAACACTAAATCTGACTACATCTGTTTACATACAGTACATGAAATGTATTTGTTTTAGAGCATTAGAGAATTAGCTGAATTGCAGAATTATTTTTACCCATTACTAGACTGAAAAATTGTCGGCTGAAAATGTGCTTCCTATAGTAACATCTAATTTAATTTATTTTATTCAAATCATGTTACCAAAAATGTTATTTAACATTACTGAATGAACCTAAATATATTAGGTTACACAAACAACATTTAAGGGTAAGTTTTGGTAGAAATAACTCATTAAGAAAACAAATACAGCACTTTATTTTATTTTTTTACTGTAAACTGATATTTTACCATAACATTGTTTATAAATCTGCTAGATGTATAATAATTTGTATATTTTTTGTTTTTAAATTGCTTAAACCAATTAAAGTTAAAATAGACAATACAATAGGGCAAGGCCCCAAACAACCTCATGTGTTCTATAGTAGCCTAACTTTTCTGATGTCAACACTGAATTAATCTTCATCGGTCAGGTGTAGCTCACTTACCCAGCCCAAGTCCCACTATGAGCCGTCCAACCAACAGTGCCTCCTTATTAGGAGCAGATCCCAACACTATCGCCCCAATGGCGAAGGTGAAGCTGGCCATGAGGATGCACACCCGCCTCCCGAACAGTCCGTTGAGATACCCGCCGAGCAGCGCGGACACCGCCGCCGCGGCAACAGTCCCGGACACCAGCAGCTCCTGCCACAGGGCAGTTATATTCATGTCTCTCTTGAGCAAAAGCATCGCTCCGGACACCACCCCGGTGTCATAGCCGAACAGAAAGCCGCCGATAGCGGAGAACACGGCCAGGACGTAAACGAAACCAGGCGTGACATCTTGCTGGAACTGTTTGCGCGCCGCGCGTTCCAAGTCCGCGGGAGATGCTGCTGAGGGACCGGCGCTGCTGAGGCTGGCGCTGGACGGAGCCTTGATGAGACTCCGCTCCCCATCATCCGACGCTCGCTTCCTCCTCTCGCCCATCAGATTGCTCATACTACGCAGATTATAGTCATCGCTGGATTTGCGGGACATAAGTGAAAAACCGCAAGAATAAATGTGCACAGTGAGTCAAAGAGGATGAACTGGAGATGTGGGCTGATGTGAGTCCAGTTTGAGGTGCTGCTGTGTTGTTGATGTGCTTTTATGAATGGTCTGTCCAGTCTGATTCCTCACAAGTTGTGTCACTGCTCTGTGGTTTAAGTCTGAAGGATCAGACAGTGATACAAGTGTGAAGGCAAAGGTAGAGCTCAACGTCATCGTGACACACCAACACACACGTGCAGAGAAATAAATCTATTGGCCAAACAGCTTCCTCTTCCTCTTGTAAACAATAATCTCACAACACTGTAAAACATTGTTATACAGTATATGTATGAAATGTATTGCACATGTCTACTTTTTACAGTGAATGTTAAAAAAGGAGTCTTTATTTATTTATTTACAGATTTATTTAGCACAAATGTTTTCTTGTCTCTCACAAAAAAATTAATTAACATGAATTAATTAACTTTGTTTTGTTAAATTAAAATTATGTTTAATTAAGCATATTCAATTATTTAAAAAAATGAATTTAAAGGGGTCATATGATACTTTTTTAAAGATCATTATTTTGTGTATTTGGTGTAACAGAATATGTTGACATGCTTTAATGTTAAAAAAACACATTATTTTTCAAATACTGTACATTATTGTAGGTCCTCTATGTCTCTATGTCTCTACGCCTCTCTCAAACGCTTCACACAAGCCCCAGTGAAGAGACAGCGCTCCCCTCTGTTGTGTCCCTCTCTCTCTCTCTCTCTCTCTCTCTCTCTCTCTCTCTCTCTCTCTCTCTCTCTCTCTCTCTCTTTCTCTCACGCACGGACGCACGCACACACACACACACACTTACTTATCTAATAACAAAACAGTAGCTGATTCAGAAGTGCCAGATCGAAGTCAGA